GGTGATCTTGGTGCCCAGGAAGATAAAATCTGTCACTACCTCCATTTCTTCCCCATCTATTTGCCAGGAATTGAGAGGGCCGGATGCCATGATCTTGGTTTTCTTAATGTTGAGTTTCAAGCCAACTTTTGCACTCTCCTTTTTCACCTGCATCAAGAGGCTCTTTAGTTCCTCTTCACTTTCTGCCATTAGAGTGGTATCATCTTCATATCTTAGGTTGTTGATATTTCTCCCGGCAATCTTAATTCCAACTTTTAATTCATCTAGCCCTGCCTTTCTCATGATGTACTCTGCATATAAGTTAAATAGGCAGGGTGACAGAATACAGTCTTGCCGGACTCCTTTCCCAATTTTGAACCAATCAGTGGTTCTGTGTTCAGTTCTCACTGTTGCTTCTTGACCTGCATATAGGTTTCTCAAGAGACAAATGAGATGGTCTGGTACTCCCATCCTTTTAAGAAGTTGCCACAATTTGTTGTGATCCACACAATCAAAGGCTTTAGCATAGTTAATGAAGCAGAAGTAGATGTTTTTCTGGAACTCCCTAGCTTTCTCCATGATCCAGCGTATGTTGGCAATTTGATCTCTAGTTCCTCTGCCTCTTCGAAATCCTGCCTGTACTTCTGGAAGTTCTCGATCCACATATTGCTGGAGTCTAGCTTGTAGAATTTTAAGCATAACTTTACTTGCATGTGAAATGAGTGCAATGGTGCGTCAATATGTGTGTGAACTGTCCTCCTAACAACGTTTCCATATTTTTCCATTCAGAATTATGTCTAATGATGAGTGGACAAAAAGAAATGTGATTAGAAGCTTCCTTTTTCTATGAAGGAAATACTTTAGCCAATGAGAAATGTAAAGGAAAATTTATCAATACAACTGCCTAATCAATGGGCTCAAAATGGGATTTTCTCAATCCATTTCCCCCATATGTTGGTACATAAAAGTATATAAAACACATTTTAAATAAAACAAAAAATATTCCTTGATTTAGAGAACACATGATAAAATGAATAGGCCTAAATTATGCAATGATTTATGCAAATTTATATCATTTTGGAGAATAAATTAAATGTTCAGTGAATGATTCCTGTTGAGCAGGAAGTAAGGATAGGATGTTTGATGATCCCTTGGTTTTTAAAATATATTTATTATGTATAAGGATGCTTGTGGTGTCATTGGAGTTGCATTAGTTGAAGACATAAACATGTGTGTACTTTGGTATGTAGATAATGGCATATTGTTGGATGAGAACTCAAATAATTTGCAATGACTATTAGATAGATTACATGTTGCAATGAAAAGTATGTATCAGAAAATTAATGAATCAGATAAGGGTAATTTAACAGACAAAATAGAGTGAATACTTTCAAGTAGATGAATTTGTCTGTTTTGATAGAATGTTTAGTGAAGATGTGAAAATTGAGAAATTTAAAAATATACAAACTCTGGTAGAAAGGTAGTGAATTTTGTGAGGTCTGTTGTGAAGACTGATTACTTGCTGAAAGAAGTAAAACATTTGCAAGAGTGTGCTTCTGAGCTTTTTGTTATATGGAAGTGGAAATTATGTAATGTATGTCAGGAAAAACACAAACAAGAATAAGTTGCACTCAGTAGGAGTTGTTATAAATCAAGAAGATATAGAGTTAAGAATAAATAGATCATGAATGAATGTGGATTGAATACAAAAGTGAATGATCAATGTGAAGTAAGCCTATTGAGGTGATTTAGTTGTATGGAAAAAAATGAATGAAAGCCACATTGCAAAACATTGAAAAGTGAATGAGCTGAAAGGAAGGGGAAGGTAGAAATTGATTTTTTTTCTTACAGCTACTAGTGCTTCTTGATTTTTCTTGATGTGACCTGCGTAATGTTGTTTATTCTGAAATGTAATATAAGTTCAATCAAAAAAGGTAACTGCAGTCCTGTCAACATAGGCACGTTATTTACTAAACATACAGGCAGTCCTCAATTTATGACCACTGTTGGGACCAGAATTGCTAAGCAAGGTGATTGTTGAGTGAGTCTGGGCAGATTTACAGTCTTTTTTTGCCATGGTTGTTAAGCAAAATACTGCAGTTGTTAAGTAATTCATGTGATTGTTAAGTGAATCTGGCTGCACCGATTGACTTTGCTTGTCAGAAGCCAGCTGGGAAGGTTGCCAATAGTCAATCACTTGGCCGGGGATGCTGCAGCCCTTGTGAAATATATGCTGGCTGCCAAGCAGCTGAATTTTGATCATGTGACCACAGGGGATGCTGCAATGGTTGTAAGTATGAGTTAGTTATAAGTCACATTTTTCATTGCTGTTATAATTTTGAACAGTTGCTAAAGAAATGGCTGTATGTTGAGGACCACCTGTATTTTATTTTCACATGTAGAGCAGTGTAATACAATACTAAAGGAAACTTGTTCCAGTTTGAGATTTTTTTAAATACTTTTTTGTTTCAGTTTCTTTTGGTGTAATGTTGCTGATTTAAATAAAGATGCTGATGATTATTATTTTTTTTTTACAATTTTGATGATTCCATATTTAGGTACATATTTAAAGTTGCATAGAATAGGGTTTGGTCATATTATAAGGATGATATATTGCCAAAATCAAATTTGGGAATAAAGCTTTCTTGTTTAAGTGTGGCTCATAAGTATACTTGTAAAGGACTTCAAAATAGTTTCTATAACATTATTTCAGAATTGAAATGAAATACAGTTTAATCTAAATTTCAATTTTTAAGAAAGTCAATTCAAATCAGATGCCAACTAATTTTGGCTCTCCCTTTGACAATTATTTTGGTTTGAATTTAATCTAGTATTAGATTGTAGCCTTGGATTTTATTGCAAATCTAACACCTTTATTGTATACCTGACCTACATCTTTCATTTGTGGATTCCCTTGTGAGCACTAAATGTATCTGGCTATTAACACTCAGCCTGGGTGTCTGAATAAACATTGGATGCGTAATTCAATCTAGGCATTTTTTTCTCTTTTATATATTTTTCTCAAGGGGACTCTAGCTGCAGTCTGTACTGAAGCAATCATTAATCTATCAGGATTTCATGTATCCCATCATAGAGCATTGAAAAGATTCTCTAGAGCTATTTTTTTTCCTATTTGTTACTTCCATGTTACAACATATTATGGTAGCTAAAATATGCATAATATTCCCTATTCATCAAAAATATGGAGATGTCTTTTTATAAAGCAGTGAATATTTCAAGGCTGTTTGGTCATAGAGAACAATCTTAACCCTGAGTATCAGAAATACATCAATAGTATCTCAGAATTGCAAGACACTCTTGTACTAGCTGTCAATCAGTTTATATAAACATCATGCAAATTAAATTGTGCTATCAAAGCAATTTGCTGTGGCCTTTGGTTCATGCTGCATTTCAGTTTATAAAACAACGACAATATACGAGTATAAAACACGAGTTCTCTCTAGGAACGATATAAGATTTTATCTTATATAGAACGTTTAAGAAAACACCCGTCTACAATATAATACAAACATCTTACTTGACTCTCAGTCGGAATTAATAGGATCATTACGTATGATATCCGAAAATAAACCAATCAATAAGGTAATTTATCTAAATCATCTTTTTGCTAAATGTATCCAAGGTAGTTTACAATTTAAAATAATGGCATGTACTTCATGGTTATAAGTTAAAAGATCAAGGAAGAGGAAAATGAGTGTATTGTTCTGTTCATACATAATTGCATGTTAAGGAATGATCATTGTTGCTTATGCATCAAAACAAACATCATCTGAATGCTAGAGAAAAAATATTTGTATTCCTACGGGTGGAGGATGGGGTGGGAAATGGGGAATAATCAAGAGTCGCAGAACACAATTCTTGATGGAGATTAAGCCTAAAGAAAGGATAGGCAATTTTGGCCAGGGACCACATTGTGTGTTCTCTCTTTGGCCTTTGAGGGATTCAAGAGGGCATGGCTGTTGATGCATGGGCTTGTGAGGTGGTTATCCTTCAGATTTTTCACTTCTCAAATTTTGCCATTCAGTTTTCATCTTTACAAATATACCAAAATAATGCTTTAATATAACTGACTTCTAGAATGCTAACTTTGAAAGAAGGCAAGGCTATGGCATATTTAAATTTAAATGCCTGTTTTGTATGGATTAATATGAGCTTTATGTGAGTTGGAGTGGAATGAACACATGGTAAATGGCTTGATCTGGAATTAGATGGATTTCTCCATTGCTTGTAGTCCTAGCTATTTTTGTGCATGGAAATCAATTTTTTTTTCAAACTAATGTGCTACTGTTTGGAACATTAAAAAGTGCCCTTCAATGCATTTTTCTTTTTATATGAGATAGTGAAATTAAGAACAAATTTTATAACCCTACACATAACCATGCTGCTAAAATTCCAATTGGTTGCTGTGGCAGCCTTGGACTTGATTTTAGACCACTCTTCCTCTTTTATCCCTCCCCTCTGCCCCCAAAACTTTCCATCCTTCTTTTGATTTTTACACATAGTTTGGGGGAGGGGGAAGGTTTGCAAGCTTCAGTACAACTAATTTGCTTTTGACAAAAGTTTTTGCTTTGTCTCTTACCTTGTTAGGATACGAATTAATGTAACTTTTGTATAAATGTTAGCAACAGCAAAAGCCCATCTGGCCCTGCAAATGATAACTGGATTCTTTCAGCATTTTATGACTTGAGGTTCTGGCAGACTTTAATCTGATTCTTCTAGGCTTCTGCCAAAGTTTTTTTTTTAAAGTTAGAATCTAACAAACTCTTTTAGAGAGAAAAATTACACAAATATCTTGCCATTTCATTTTTTAATCTATTTCTATTATTGCTGACATTTAAATTCTTATAAAATCTAATTATAGAGTAAAATTGCTTGCTTTGTTAAACAAGTGGTCATGGTGCTGAATATCTGTTTTATACCAATATTAATTCTCTTTGTATATAATAATGCTAACTTTTTTCTTGGCCTTGTTTTGTTCAGAGCTGCCCAGAAACTTAACCTGTCCTCAAAGAAAAAGAAGCATCATGCACCTTTGCTGCATTCCCATGGTGTCTCTCTCTACGCCACTAATTTTAGTGGCATCCTACAGATGTATCCTCCTCCAGCACCACCATGCCTTTTAAGAGCTGTATCAAAAGTCAAAGACAACCCAGGAATTGGAAAGGTATTTAAATCTCTGTTAATTCTCTAGTTGCTTCTTCAATAATAATGAAGAATTGGATAGCCAAATGTATTCTGACTGGAATGAATCTGATCTAATATAGATAAACAGTTTGTTCTTGTTGACAAGAATGTAATCCATGGTTACAGATTCCTGGTATTTCAGAAGCAGATCATGATAGTGGATGGACATAAATTTTAATTTCAGTTGGCACCTTTTTGCTAAGCTGCATCTGAAAGCTGCTGCAAAGAAAGCTGTCCCAAAGAAGAGCTTTTGGAGAGATGCTGAAACATTGATAATAGTAGGTCTGTTAGGACTACGCTGAAACTTTGGGAAACCTTTTTCAAATATGGGTGTTCCCTTTTTCATATTTATGTCTAAGATTATGTGGAAGTTATTTGGTAAAAATTATCTGTGCAGAATTTTTCTGCACAGTCTGAAGATTAACTTCTCGCACCCCCCCCCCTCCTTACCCATGGATCCCTTATGTAGTGTCACTCTCTGGATACAATATGAGCACAGATATATTGAAGTTTTGCTGCGGTACCAAGGTAGGCCTTAATAGCGGCTTTAACTCATGCTCATTCAGATTCATTCCTCATCGTCCTCCAGCGGCGCTCTAGACGTCTCTTGACCCTTTTCATCTCCCTAAGTTCTTCTATAAACAATGGGGAGTGGTGGGAGGAATGGACCAAGAGAGATCACAGGTCTGATTCTACTGAAGGCCTTGGACACCTCCCAGTTCTAGACTGGGCCAGAGCCTCAGTAGGACCATGCAGCAGAGTTTCAGGTATAACCCTCAGTTTCCTTTGGAGTCCCACCAAATCCATCAGTTGCTGGAGGCAGATCAGTTCAATAGGTGCTACCTCCCTTCAGAGGGCGATAAGAACCTCAAAGTCACCAGGATGTGATCTAACTATGACAAAAGGCACAGAGGTGGCTCCCCTCTCAGATCACGTTGCCATTGCTCTGACAAGATGATGTCTGGTTTGTGGCCACTGTTTCATGAATGACCTAGGATAGGCCCATGGTTGCCATGGTGGTCTTGAACTCCTGAGTTGCCTCCAAGGCCCACCCCAAAGAAAGCAAATTAATGATAAATTAAGAAGTTTTCATTGTGTCTTTTGTCTGCTAGTTGGTGTTCATGGATATGTTTTGCTAGTCATATGCCTGTCTGCCCTACATAATGGCTGTTACAGTCCTTACACTGTATGTTGTAAATGACTCCTGTTTTTATTTCTTGGGCTACTGGATCTTTGATTCACTTAAGATGATTTGGAGGGCTTTAGTTGGTTGGTTTTGAGATGTTTTTGATGTATCACAGTATTATCTTTTTCATAGTTTGCATTGGTTGTACTGTAGTGTGTTGTATGGTCAGGCAAGTTTTAATAATATCCATTTTGCTGGAAGATGTATAGATGATCTGTTTCCTTTTCCTGGGGTTCTTACATAGCTCCTCTTGTGGGAGGTTGAGTTGTTACTTTGGTAATGGAGCATTTGGTTTGCATGGGTAGTCTTACAATAGACTTGTTTCTAATTTGCCACCATTTCCTCTGCTGATGAAAATATCTTGTATGTTGTTGTTTTCTTCTTCCCTTGTGAATTTTATCCTTTTGAAGAAGTTGATAGTTTCATGTCTTCTCTAGTTGTTCCTTTTTATTATGACAAGAGGTTTCTTCTACATACTGGATCCATACTTTTGGTTGCATGTATGGGATCAGTGGTGGGATTCAAATATGTGAACAACCGGTTCTCTGTGTGGATGCTGCTTCTGGAAGTCCGTTGTGGACCTGGGCAACAAAAAATTAGCTACCAGTTCTACCAAACTGGTGCGAACCAGCTGAATCCCACCACTGTATGGGATGCCATATGCATGGAATGCTGTAATGCAGTGTCCAGAAACTATAACAGTCCCATACATATGCCACTTAGAATCATACAGCCAAAATATGGATATTACCCTGTTGTGTAACAAGATGTCTGTAGGAAAACAACCAAACTTAGAGAGCTCTAAAGAGTGCATTGTTCAATTCTGAACTACATATATTATTTTTATTAGTTCTAGATATATCTGCACAACATAAGAGTTTGATGTGAGAATAGTCTCATAAAGTAAAATATTAAGGTTTCCATTTTGCAGCTGAAATTCTGGAATATTTAATGCAGATTGTTAAACTTTGGAAAAAGGAGGAAGGAAGATGTTTATCATATGTCTGTTTATTTGCCTCTATCTATCTATCTATCTATCTATCTATCTATCTATCTATCTATCTATCTATCTATCTATCTATCTATCTATCTATCTATCTATCTATCTATCTATTACAGTTCAAGACAACTCTGAATGGCTAAGATAATGAAGAAGAGAGGAAGGATAGGAAGGGAGGAAAAAGGGAAGGAGGGAGGAAGGAAGAAAGGGAGGGAAGAAGGGGAGATATAAGGAACAGAAGAAAGAAGGAAGAGAGGGTAGAAAAAGGAAGGGATGAAAGGGAGAGAGGAAAGGAGGGAGGGAAGGAAGGAGGGGGAATGTGGAAGTAAGTAAGGAGGCATGGGGAAGTACCTGTAAGTAAGTAGGATAATGACAGAGTGACAGGCAGGGAAGGAAGAAAGGGAAAAAGGGAGGGAGGGAGGNATATATATATATATATATAACTTGCAAGATTTTTTCCCCAGTGTACATATTTCTAAATTACCTTGTCAGATAAAAGTTTGCTCTGTGATTGAGCAAGAGAAAAGGTTAGTGCTTTAAACTTCAAAAATGTGAGCGTTTTGGGAGACCTCAAAAATAAGTCGCATTAACATTTAAGTTCAGTTATGGTAGAATTTATTCTCAGAATTATAGAACTGGAAAGGGTGTCATTAACAACAGCTAGATTTGTCACCAGCTTTTACACTTTTCAGTTCCCTCTCATTAGTTTGAGGTCATTTTAGGCCTCTTTAGAGAGCTGACAAATATTAAAAATATGCAAGGCAAGAATTATTTCCGCTTAAAGTAGTTGGAAGATTCTCAATAAATTATTACATAACACCACAGGGATTGGAGTGTATGTGTTTTAAAAAAATCAGGATGGCAGCCACGACCACACAATTGAAACCCTGTTTTTTTAAAAAAATGACACACTTAATGCATGCAACTCCCTCCAGCTTTAATCATATCATTGCAGCTACCATCTTGATTTTTTTGACTCTCCTGGTGGATGTCCCTGCATGACACAATGTACTATGAAGATGTCAGTATGAAGCATCCCTATGATTTCCCTGATAGATTTTATTAAAATTTATGGAGAATGGTATTCTATAATTTGTCTAAACCCATGTTTCTCAACCTCGGCAACATGAAGATAGATTCAGCTCCCAGAATTCTCCAGCCAAATGGATTCATAACTGGCTGGCCAACTGCATTCAATGTGTAGTCCTTAATGAACTGCATTTACATGGAGGGAAGTATGCAGTGGGGTACCCAAGGTTCTGCCTTAGGCCCAAAATCTTCATAAATGATTTAGATGAGGGGATAGAAGGGCAACTTGTCAAATTTGTAGATGACAAGTTGCCCTTGTCATCTACAGAACAGCCAACACTCCAGAAGATAGGCTCAAGATCCAGAAGGATCTTGACAGATTTAAATACTGGGCATATAGCTAACTAAATGAAATTCAGTGTTGAGAAAAGTAAGGTTTTACAGTTAGGTAAGAAAAACCAAATGCACAGGTGTAGAATATATGGTACCTGGCTCAATAGCAGTAATTGTGAGAGGAATCTTAGTGGACAACAACTTAAAAATGAGCCAGCAGTGTGCTGCAGCTGCCAAAAAAGTCAACAGTCCTAGGCTGTTTTAACAGATAGATAGAATCAAGAAATGTTAGTACTGCTTTATAATGCCTTGGTAAAACCAAATTTGGAATATTGCATCTACATGTTGAGACTCTAGAAAGAGTGCAGAGAAGAGCAACAAAGTTGATCAGGGGACTGGAGGCTAAAACATACATAGAAAGGTTGCAAGAATTGGGTATGTCTGATTTAATGAAAAGAAAGACCAGGGTGACATGATAGCAATGTTCCAATATTTGAGGGACTGCCACAAAGAAGAGGTAGTCAAGCTATTTTCCAAAGCACTTGAAGACAGAACAAGAAGTAACAGATGGAAATGAATCAAGGAGAGAACCAACCTAGAAATAAGGAGAAATTTCCTGACAGTTAGAACAATCCATCAGTGGAATAGCTTGCCTTCAGAAGTTGTGGGTACTCCAACACTGGAGGTTTTTAAGAAGAGATTGGACAGCCATTCATCTGAAATGGTAGGTCTCTGCTTGAACAAGTGTTTGGGATAGAAGACCTCCAAGATCCTTCCAACTCTGTCATTCTGTTATTTAAAAAAAATGGAATAATTTCTTTGTGTAGTCTCATTGAGCACTGTTAAATTTAATGTCAAACTAGTAAGGAAGATGTTTGAAAGCCATTTAGTACTGTGATCCAAAGAAATTAGATTATGCTCAGTTTCTGACATTAATGTGCTACTTAAGATAATTCATCAGATTGTGGTATTTAAAAAAAGACATCCTTTTTACAAGTGGTGCTCTGCATTCTAATTTGACTTTATTTTCCCTCTTTCTGGAATTGTAGATAACTTTTTTCAATGCAAAACATTATTTTTCTTTGAACTCTTTTCCGCACATGCTTTGTAATTTAATGTCATTTACCAGACTAACAGGAGGTGTTAGTTTTATTCCGAAAATCCTTTCAATTTTTAAAACAACAGAATAAAAGAATAACAGAATAACAGAGTTGGACGGGACCAGAGTTCTTCTGGTCCAATCTCCAATCTCCTGCTCAAGCAGGAAACCCTATACCATTTCAGACAAATGACTGTCCAGTCTCTTCTTGAAAACCTCCAGTGTTGGAGCATTCACAACTTCTGGAGGCAGGTTGTTCCACTGGTTAATTGTTCTAACTGTCAGGAAGTTTCTCCTTAGTTCTAGGTTGCTTCTCTCTTTGATTAGTTTCCA